ATTTGCAGACTGTACTCACAATTATGTGTTTATTAGGGAAGTAACAGTCTACAACTCAGGATCAGGATCAACTTGGAAGTAACAGGATACAAGTCAGGAGACAGGATACAGTTCTTCAATCAGGACAGCTTCCAACCAAGACAGTTCTCAGCTTCTTCTCAGCTGTGCTTGCAGGTAGTCGGCCCCTCTCTTGGCGGTGCCTACAGGTAGGCCTTTTCTTGACCTCTGCTCTGCTTGGGCAAGTATTACAACTCTTTAGCTCTGCCAGCAAGTGCCCAGAGATACCCCACTCCTCCAGCAAGCCTCCTGCTTGAAGGCTTTCAGCTTTCTCTCACTCCATGGGTTGGCAAGCCCACAACAGCCGTCTTGTGCCGTGTCTCCTGCTTCCTGCTGTTTGTACTGCTGCTACTGGGCTCTGCTGTGTTTGCCACCATTTATTGCTGGTGCCAGTGTTACGGCTTTCTCTTGTGTCTAGGAGGTTCTCAGTACAGGGATCCCAGGTCCAAAGGACACGCTCTGCTCCAGGCTCTTCTGGATGGTAGTGAGGTCCCGCCTGAACCTCTGTGGGATTGGCCCTTATGTAACCCTCCTCCTTGTCTATTTCAAGGCATAGTCCTCCCACCAGGTCCAGGAACTGACCAATCTCCTTGGTAGGCCACTGTCACTGAATTTGCATAGTAATTGACGGATTCCCCCCGGAAAAGTCACTTAATTCTATTGGGTGGTTTTACACACCCTATTTGCATGGTGTATCGACTGATCCCTTGCAAGACTGTGGCCCAGCCAATAATTTTTGGCAGAATTATAAACCCAATGCCAGAAAGGCCTTATATAAGAGAAACCCGTTGCTCTGCAGGGGAGGAAATTCAAGAGTTCTGTTTCTGACCATTTAAATGGAGATTCCCCTTAGTTGGACTTGTGAGTCTGAAGTTCAGGGGAAATGTCAGGGCTGGAGCTATATGTGGGGAGTGTCATTATCATATAGATGGTGTTTAAAGCCAGAGAACTGGAGGGGGAACCCTCATGAGGAAGGGGGTAGATGGGGTTGCTAAGCAATAAGGAACACAGGCTGTTTGGGAAGCTTAAGCAGTCATTTTTCTACAGGTTTAGAAGTGATCAGAATGAAAAGAAGACTGCGGCTGGGCAAAAGGACTGTGTGCTTGGTACTCTGGGGTGGCTATGCATGCTGGACCTAGATATTTTTTTTTTTAAATTACAGTTCTCTTAACCAGGTCCTGCTCCGGCACATACTGCTAACTTCTGTACAAATTAGAAAAAGACATTTTTTTCTGATCCATACAGCTATTGGCCTAAGCCATGTGTGCACTAGATTTGTGCACCTCTTACCCCAGAGAAGGAGTCCCTGGGTGGTGCAAATGGTTAAGTGCTCATCTTAGGCTGGGTTCTCTAGAGAAACAAAACCAGTGAAGCATATATATATATACATATATATATATAGAGAGAGAGAGAGAGCGAGGGAGAGAGAGAGAGATTTATATCAAGGAAATGGCTTATGTGGTTGTAGAGGTTAGAAAGTCCTAAGTCTGTGGGTTAGACTGGAGGCATCTCCTAACTCAGGTAGCTGCAGGGGCTGGTGAGCCCAAGATCAGCAGGTCAGACAGGCCGCTGGCTCACAGGCTGCAGAGGCTGACAAATCCCAAGAATGGCAGGTGAGCTGATAGCTCAGATCCCAAGAACAGGAGGTCAGATGAACAAGAATCAGCTGCATGATCCGGAGTGAGCAAAAACCAGTGAGCTTTGCCAGAAAGTCTACATATATTGGATGGAAGCCACACCCTCAAGGACACTCACTTTCAACTGATTGGTTGCTCATAGCAGATCTCATCATGGAGGTGATTACATTATATCAGATCTCATTATGGATGTGATTACATCATTACATAGCTGCCAAACTAACTACATCATAACTGCCAAACCACTGAGAACCATGGCCCAGCCAAGCTGACGCACACCTTAACCATCACAGTGCTCAACTACTAGCTGAAAGGTTGGTAATTTGAACCCACCCAGAGGCACCTTGGAAGGTAGGCCTTGTAATCTGCTTCTGAAAGGTCACAGTCTTGAAAACCATATGGAGTACAGTTCTACTCTGCATACATGGGGTTGCCTTGTGTCAGAATTGACTTGATGGCAACTAATGACAATAACACCCCCAGGAGAGCTGTTAAGCAGGGTACAACTTGGTGGTTTTTCTTCTCAAAACTGGGGTACACACACCTCCACCCTGAGGGACACAGAGCCACAGGGTACCATGACACATTTTTCTAGAGTATGATTCAGTCAAATATTCTTTTGAGTAAAAGCTTTTATGTGGGGGTGTTTAAAACTAGCATGGATAGATTATGTCACATGAGAAAATGTGAAATTTAAACTTCACGCTTACAACAGCCTTCTTATACTCCCATAACTTTCCTCCCAGGAAACAAGTGGAAAAAAGTTTTGCTTCCAAGTGTCTGTGTATTAGTAGAAGTTAGAAAAATATGTGTTATTTAGCACTTGCTAAGTGCTAAGCAGGAGCTCTGGTGGCACAATTGTTAAGCACTTGGCTGCTAACTGAAAGGTTGGTGTCCGAACCCACCAGCTGCTCTGAGGGAGAAAGATGTGGCAGTCTGCCTGTAAAGATTACAGCTTTGGAAACCCTACTGGGCAGTACTACTGTGTCCTAGAGGGTCCTCTGAGTCAAAATAAACTGGACAGCAATGGGTTAAGTGCTAGGCAATATGCTAAAGATATAATCTTCTCTAATTCCATAATTGTCCTTCTTATCTCCATCAGACAGAAGAGACTGAAGCTCAGCCCAGTTAAGTAACTTCCCCAAGGTCACACAGCTAGTAAGAGGCAGAGCTGAGATTGGGTTTATCTATCTTTAAAGCAACACCCCTAACACTTCATAGATTGTCTGGAGTCTCCCTAAGGTGGCCCTCAGGGTTGTTGTAATACCCATGGCCAGAGGGTTCAGATTTAGTTGGATGCAGGATTATTTTAGCTGTTGGAAGAGCTGGCAAAACAGAAAGAGGAGCCCAGAACCAGGAAGAAGAGTAGAGGACGTGAAACAAGGGATATCCAAGAAGCTGAAGTATATGAAGAAGAATGTGGCATCAGGGTTGGAGAAAAACTCATTAACAACCTGCAATATGCACATAACACAACCTTCCTTGCTGAAAGCAAAGAGGACTTGAAGCATTTACTGACCAAGATCAAAGACTACAGCCTTCAGTATGGATTACATCTCAACATAAAGAAAACAGAAGTCATCACAACTGAACCAATAAGCAGCATCATGATAAATGGCGAAAATACTGAAGTTGTCAAGGATTTCATTTTACTTGGATCTACAATCAATGCCCATTGAAGCAGCAGTCAAGAAATCAAATGATGTATTGCATTGGGCAAATCTACTCCAAAAGACCTTTTTAAAATGTTAAAAAGCAAAGATGTCACTTTGAGGACTAAGGTGCGCCTGACTCAAGCCATGTTATTTTCGGTCTCCTCAGAAGCATATGAAAACTGGACAATGAATAAGGAAGACTGAAGAAGAACTGATGCCTTTGAATTGTGGTGTTGGTAAAGAATATTGACTATACCATGGACTACCAGAAGAATGAACAAATCTGTTTTGGCAGACATACAGCCAGAATGCTGCTCAGAAGCAAGGATGGCGAGACTTTGTCTCACATACTTTGGACATGTTATCAGGAGGGACCAGTCCCTGGAGAAGGACATCACGCTTGGTAAAATAGAGGGTCAGTGAAAAAGAAGAAGACCCTCAATGAGATGGATTGACATGGTGGCTGCAATAATGGGCTCAAACATAGTAACGATTGTGAGAATGGCGCAGGAGTAGGCAGTGTTTTGCTCTGTTATACATGAGGTCACTATGAGTTGGAACCCACTCTATGGCACCTAACAACAACGACTCGTCACCTACATTCAATAATTATCAATGTATTGCCAAACTTGATTCATCTGTACCTCTACTTTTTCTTTTTAGTATAATTTACTTATTACCTGTTGCCATCGAGTTGACTTAGACTCATAGCGACCCTGTAGGACAGAGTAGAACTTCTCCATAGGGTTTTCAAGGCTGTAATGTTTACGGAAGCTGAGTACCACACCTTTCTCCCCAGGAGCAGCTGGTGAGTTTTCACCAGTTAGGGTGAGGGTTAGCAGCCAAGCTCTTTAACCACCGCGTCACCAGGGCTCTTTAATTTACTTATTAGTAAGTTTAAATAATGAAATTTTTAATAATGGCTGTGTTTAACAACATGCAGTTGCTGTATGGGGATTAAATAAGAGTTACTATGCTTACTATGTGAAAGCAGTGTTAAAATATTTGCTGAACGAATGAACTCTATTAAAGCACTTAACTTGCGTAGACTTTCACTAATTAATGAATTCCATTTAAAAAAATTATTGAGTCTCTATTATAGGCCAAACCCGTTGCCCTCGATTGGATTCCGACTCATAGTAACCCCAACAGGAGGAAGTAGAACTGCCCTTTACGGTTTCCAAGGAGAAACAGGTGGATCCAAACTGCCCACCTTTTGGTTAGCAGCGGAGCTCTTAACCACTGCGCCATCAGAGCCTCCCACGGCTCCCCGTTATAGGCAGTAAAAAAAACCCAAAACCCGCTGTCGTCCAGTCAATTCCGACTCACAGCGACCCTACAGGACAGAGTAGAACTGCTCCCTAGGGTCTCCAGGGAGCGACAAGTGGATCTGAACTGCCAGCCTTTCGGTTAGCAGCGGAGCTCTTAACTACTGTGCCACCAAGGCTCCTCATTATATGCCAGGCGCTGTTAATTTATGGAGGTCCGACGGTTTGTCGCCGTGAATCGGAATCCACTCGACAGCCATGGGTTTTTCGGTTTTCTGCGATTTGACCGATGGTGGGAGGGGCGGGGGGCGGAGCTTCAGGGATCCTCCCCCCTGCGAAGCCCAGTCGGATCCAAGGAGGAGGCAGGCCCCGCCCACTTCGCCGTGCAGCCCGGAAGCGAGGTTGGGGAGGTTGTGTGTGTGTTTCCGGTGGCTCCGGGTGGCTACTACCGGCAGCGGTGTAGACGCCGCTGTCAAACCTCCTCGGGAATATGTTCTACCACGTGAGCACGGCGCGGGGTAGGGGCGTGGGTAGGGTCGGGAGGAGGGCCGAGGCCGGGCGTCGGGGTCCGGGCCCGCTTCTTGCCCCATATCCCCGCCGCACCTTTCCGTGTCACCATCCCACTTTCCTCCCAGATCTCCCTGGAGCACGAGATCTTGCTGCACCCGCGCTATTTCGGCCCCAACCTGCTCAACACGGTGAAGCAGAAGCTCTTCACCGAGGTGGAGGGGACCTGCACGGGGAAGTGAGTGTCCCGACCTCCGCGCCGCCTAATTATTGCCGGCACCTTGCCCTATGTCTGCAACTCCTCCTTAACTCCAGCACGGCACCTTGCCCTATGTCTCCAACCCGTCCTTAGCTCCAGCAGCGTCCTGCCACTCACTCTCGGAAGCCCTGTTAACCTCCCAGGCGCCCCAGGCAGTCATTTGCCTCCTGGTTTGGGTTCACAGCGCCCTCTGCAAAGGTGGATAACAGGACTTCCAGCGTTCAGCTGAGATGGGTCGTTCATTTACCAGTTTCTTCAGCTCCTGCTGGGTGCCAAGCTCTGTACTGGGTCCTAGGAGCACGCAGTGAATGAGATAGACTGAGGCGAGCTCTCAGTATCTGTGTCTACTTCCCCTCTGTGATTTTGCAGGTTTTCCCACCCTCCTGTGCCCAGGGACTTGGCATGGCACATGCTGGGGCTCGGTAGATGTTTCTTCAATCGATGAGTGAACAGAAAAAGCAGACTGAGAGTTTAGGGGAGGAAAGAGAGGGCTGGAACTTGTCCGTCTCTGGGCTCTGCGCAGAGCAGCCTCTTAGAAGGTGATGTGAATGAGCTGGGTCTGAGCCCAGGGCAGTAGAGTACTTGGGCCTTCATCATGAGAATAATCTTGGGTGCTTCTTGAACGTGCAGGTCCCTAAGCCTCAATCTCAGCCCTACAGAATCAAGACTCTCTGGGGGCAGACCTGGGAATTTAACAAGTTCCTCTCGGATGATTCTGAGGCATCCCAAAGCTTGAGGTCGGTTGGCTAAAGGACTGCAGTCTTCTTGGGCGTTTATCATGGAACCTGAGAGCCTTATAGATGCTGTTCTGTCTTCTCTCCTGGTCATTAATCTCTCTGGGGACCGGGGTGCTATTTCCACTTTGTGCCCCACCCTTCCCCAGGCTCAGTGACTTGTTTGCAGGTGGCTTTAGAGGCTCTTCCACACACAGCCCCTTTCTCATCCTCTTCGCAGGTACGGCTTTGTAATTGCTGTCACCACCATTGACAATATTGGTGCTGGTGTGATCCAGCCAGGCCGAGGCTTTGTCCTTTACCCTGTTAAGTACAAGGCCATTGTGTTCCGGCCCTTTAAAGGGGAGGTCGTGGATGCCGTTGTCACTCAGGTCAACAAGGTGAGATCACGCACTGGGGAGGCAGCCGGCTGGTCCCTCAGAAGATCTGGGTTGGGTCCTGACTCCACTTACTAACTCTGTATCCTCGGCTGAGCCATTTCACTTCTTTCTGCCTCAGTTTCTCACCTATCAAATTAAATGTTAACCTTGCCCTGCCTCACTTGGGGGCATGTGGGTCAATATTAACACTTATTACGATAGTAGCTTACACGGATGATGGGTAGTTACTGTGGGCAGGTAAAGTGCAAAGCCTCGTCGTGACTCTGTGAGGTGGATGCTTTTGTCTCCACCCACAGCCTCTTTTTTACAGAAGCTGAGTCTTAGGGAAGCTAAGTGTTCTGGCCAACATCATGTGGCCAGCAAGTGGCAGTGTGGTGCATTTCTACCCCAGATATACTGAATCAGAATCTACATTTTAACAAGATCCCCAGGTGATTCTTATGTATAACTTCCTGGGAACATGTTAGAAATGCATATTCTCAGCAGGGCTTCAAACCAGACCCAACTGGTTCGAAGCTTTGCTTCAAATCCAGACCTGACAAGTCCCAGGCCTAAGTTCTTTATTACTACACTGTATTTGTTTAGTTTAAAGAGAAAGGTTAAAAAAAAAAAAAAAAAA